CTTCCCTTGGGCTTCCGTGGGAGAGATGCTGGTTTTGTACCAGGTTGAAGGAGGTACAGTGAGGACCATGAGTCAAGAGGCAGCCCAAAGACTTTCGGTTTGTTCTGCATCTCCAGCTCTGGCTGGACCCAAGATGCACAAAGATGAGCTCAAGGACGGGGTGAAGGTTGAGCACCTGCACCCCCTCTCTCGCTATCTGTATTTTTGGCTCACGGCAGTGCTTAGCATTCTCCTGCTGCAGTTCGTGGCAAGTGACTCAACATTGCTCCTGTGGTTGGGGCACCCTGGCTGGTGTCTGTTCACAAATGCTCTCCTCTCCACCCCTGCAGCCCTGACCCCCATGGGCTGTGCACCCGGTGACACTGAGTAAGAGCAAGAAGCTGCGGTTTTGGCTGGTGTCACCGAGGCGCCAGACATCAGTTCTCCGGCCCTGTCCACTGGATCGTGCATTCTTTTGGGATCTTTGCATAAACATGGGTGTTTCACATATTTCCTGAGTAGTGCAAAGCCTTCTGGCCACTTCCTCTTTTTTGGCAAGCTGTCTGCGGACACAGCTCCACTCTGGTTTTTATTTTCTGCTTTATAGATAATCACTCCCCTCGAGTCAGGATTATTTTTCTCATTGGAATCTGGATGGTATCATACAATAACTGCCTGCTCTTGTGGCAAGGAGGCTAGATGTTTCCCCTCTCAAGCTCTGGGTGGCTGATTTTTATAGCTATTGTGACATAAAAATGTCTCATCAATTGAGGAAAGGTCTTTTGATAGCACTGAAAGCGTGGTACTCATTGCAAAAGCTCCTAGGGTCTGGCCTGGGGCTTCACAGGTGTGCGGAGTGTCCCCAGACAGCCACCGGCTCGTTTCAGCTTGGTCTCCTGTGATGCATTCTTTATGGCAAAAATACAGATAAAAGCGAGCTATCACATGATCTTGAACCTATTATGAATGCTCGTACTTGGTGATTGGTTGGTTGGCAATAAAAGAGAAAACAACTCAAATTGACGTAGGCAAGAAATGAGTGCATCCATGTAACTAAGAAGGACAGATTTAGGGTTAGCTTCAGGGGAGGCTTGGTCTAGCTTTTTTCTCTATGTTTCTTCACTCTGCCTTCCCTGTGGGCTTATTCCTGGCAGCCTCCCAGCTCAGGACCCCAAGATACTAATAGATCTAAAGGGCTATTTGCTTCTGGGTTGAATGAAATAGGAAGGAGAAAGGCTACATTTGTAGCACATTGCAGAATGGACATAGGTCACATGGCAGTCTCTCAACTTGAAACTGGAACGAGAAGGAGGAGTCATGTGGTTGGCCTAAGCTGATCTGAGCCTGGTCCTGAGTTACAGATGGGAGTTGACCCCACCCAGATGGAGCACTATTAAATTGCAGAGGAGGGAAAAGTTCAAATGTCTGTCACCCCTGGCATTGACAGGTCAGGATTTGGAGATGTCAGGGTTAGTTTCCTCTAGTGCAGGTAGTCGTTGGTGGTATCCACGAGTGTCTCAAGTCTTCTGTGTGTTGGACCCACGGTACCTCTCTTGGCTAACGTGTTGTGTGTTGAAGCATTCATGTTCAGGGCGAGACCCTCCAGGGCTTTCTCCTTCCCTTTGCTTGCAACTGTAAACATCTGAGATAGAGGCTGTTCCATCACGAATGACAACAATGTGCAGATTCATACTGATGGCAAGCTCCATGAGCAAGAAATAAAGCAGCTGGGTGAAGGCACAAAGACCTAGGAGTTGTCTGTTACTGTGGCTACCCAGTTCATCCCGCCTAGGGAGCTGCATTTCTTAATCCCCTTGGATTCTCAGGGAGATGCTCACAAACATCCTATATTTGTGCAGTTCTAGTTCAGTAATTATACAGATGAGAGATATTATTAGCACCTTTTTTTCCCCCCAGTGGAAAAACTGAGGTGAACTCCCTAAATGCTCTGTTTGTTAATTTAGCACTGTTTTGTTTTCTTAAATAATACACTTGTGGAAGAGGAGCAGGAGAGGGAGGAGAAGGAGGAGGAGGAATAGAAGAAAGAGGAGGAAGAAGAGGAGGAGGAAGAGGAGGAGGAGGAGGAGGTGGGCAATTTCTGGAGCATCTAGGAGGCACTTTGCACCTTTGGTGCTAATAAAAGCCAGGCCAGAAGCCCTGACTTCGTCATCATCCAGGTGGGCTGGTTCACTGATTGTCTCTATGAAGCGACTCATCTGGGGACCCAGGAGAGAGGATGAGGCTGGAGTAAAGACAGGTCTTCACTCTCTGGGGTTGGGGAGAAGTTTCCTGGAATCCATACTCAGATATCGTAGTCTTTATGGTGAAGAAGTAGCAAGGAGAAGCAGCTAAAAGATTTTAAGAAAGATGTTCCTTCATGAGGTTTTTATTGTAAAAGACAGAGTGCAGACCACATGGAGATAACCCAGGAATAAGCGTGAAAGGACAATAAGGAGGATTGGCTATTTCTAATTTCCCGTGGTGTGAGAGGCGGCTCTTCGAGGACTGTGGGGAAGCTCTCCAGTGCGTGTTGTGGAGTGAGTCGCACTGGTGTTCGACTGTAAGCCCATAGTCAGGGTCAACGAGATGACTAGATGTGAATGTGGATGATTTAGGGTCCCACAATGCTCACATTCTCCGACAGAGCTGTGAGTGGATCTGTTTCCTTTGACTGGAAAACTAAGTGCTGTAAAGTCGATGGCTCCAGAGCAGTGCCCAGGAGGGGGAGCCCGTGTTCCGCGGTCCCGGTGGAAGCTCTGCCAGCTGCCTCCTCCGTGACAAAATTACAACACCGTCATCACTATATGGCAAGCTGAGTAAACAGGAGAAACTTGTCGTCATTTCTGTTTGGCATTGTCATGTTAGTCCACACAACTGGCTCTTCACCTGCACTTTGCAAGTGAGTTTCTCTAAAATTCCTGCTGTGATTCACACTATCCTAGATGTTCTATCTGTCCTTTCAAAGCAAGAGGCAAGTGTAGCTGCTATTGTAGTTTTAATTTAGAAGATAAATATAAAACAAAACCAGGAATAGGCGATACTTTTGGTTACCTGGTTTTTCTCCTTAGATTTTGTCTTCTGTATTATTTTCTCCAAGTCCCCTCTTAGGGAAACAGGTTATTGACATGCTGCTCTCCCAGCCCAACCTGTCTACAGGCAGTTTGCATCACACCGACTAAGTTGGAAACTCTTCTTTTAATCTTCTTATTTTCCCACAATTTGCTACACAGAGCTGGACACCTTGATGCCTGGTTAACATTAAAGTGGTCACTTATTAGATGGTTAAATTTTCTTTAAACAGATAGCAGTGGCTACTAGGAGCATAAACAAGTCATACCAAAGCAATCTCACTTAAAAAGATCTTATTCTGGGTGTGTTGATTCTGAATTTCAGCAGAACACGCAACTCCAAATTTTCCATGCTATGTTTGTGGATAAGAGTTAAGCCTCAGAGAAATGTAGGTAGGTGTGTTTCTAAGTGGTTAAATAAAATATATTCAGGATGTTTTCTGTAATCCCTGAAAAAGGTGTTAACATTAACCTGTGGAGAAGTTTCTGGTAGTTTACCATAGCTTTATTGTCTTAGTGAATTTTTATTGTCTGTGGTCCTGCTTTTTTAAAAATGCATTTAGTTACCTGCAATGTTTGGAAGCCCAAATAGAAGTATGTTTTTGAAATTTTCTGATGACTCAAAGCTGGGGGGAATAGTTAACATTTTAGTAAATTAAAGGTTAAATTAAAGGTGGCACACACTTATAATCTCAGCACTCTGGGAGGGAGGGAAGTGCAAATTTGAGCCCAGCCCAGGTAACGTAGCAACTTATAAAGACTGTCTCAAAATAAAACTTAAGCCCTGAGGATATAGCCCAGTGTGACAGCTCTGGGTTCAATCCCCAGCACCACAAAGAAAAAATTAATTTTTTTCCCAATTACATTGGCATAATAGAAATATGTGAAAGAAATTGTACATTAATATTTGAAAAATTAGCTATAAATGTTTAGGAAGGGAAATCTGATTTAATAGTGGTTTATGTAGAAATAACCTAGGGATTTCAGTTGATCAAAACTCAATACGACTACACAGTGAGACAATACACAATGCTAATGAAATTTTAGGGCTTGTTAATATAATGGTTTAGAATACAAGACATACAAGTCCCTACTGTGCATGGATCGGTCGAGCCAAGCCTGTAATTCCCGTTTGAATGTAGGCTCTGTATTTAGACAGATGTGTAGAAATGCAGAGGGATCCAGAAGACGCTGACCAGGAAGGAATGTTCACACAGCGAGTCAAGGAGAAAGCTGAGGGGTTTGCGAAAGCAGATCAGAGTGGAGGAGACGCAAGGGAGTCCTAGGAAAGGTCTTCAAATATTGGAAGGTTACCAACACGACAAGGCCTTAGACTTCGTCTCTGTGACCCCAGGGGTGCAAGTTGGCATTAGGCAAGAGATTGTAGGCAGGCAGGTTTGGGTTTCTCATCATAGAGACCTTTCCAGTGATTTCCATTCTGAAACAGGCACTTCCTGTTTTATAAGGAAGTGAGTTTCCCACCACAGGAGACCTTCAGAGACAGAGCAGGAACCCTCATCAGGCCCTAAATGGTCGTGCTCCAGGAAGGTGGACCAACGATCGCCAGCAAAGTTTCTTCTATCCTGTGTCCCCAGCATGAAAAATGCCTACAATGTAGGAGGCTCTCAAGCAGTGTCTACCAAATGAGCGAGTGTTTTAAGGGTTAAAAAAACCCGGAAAAGAGGACTTTTGCGCTTGATGTGGATTTTTGCCGCAGCTGATTTTGTAGAACCAAAGGGCACTGTCCGCTAGTGTTGGGAGCGTGTCATGGAGTGGCGGGGGGTGGAGGGGGTGGGGACTGAGGGTCTTGGAGACACACACAGCTTAATATTTCCTGAATAACTGCCTTTTTTTTTTGTTGCTCTGGCACAACTCATGCTCAAGCTTGTAGATTTTAAAGCTACGATGAGCAGTGCCTTGCCCCAAATTTACCTGACGCTATTTCTTTTCCAGGATAATCGGATCCACACCTCCAAGTACAACATTATCACCTTCTTGCCAATTAATTTATTTGAACAGTTCCAAAGGGTGGCAAATGCCTATTTCCTTTTCCTCCTGATATTACAGGTAATGTATTTATTTTCTCACCATCTGTTTGTTAAAAGTATTCATATAATTTGAAGAGGTATGTTAATTTACTTAGCTAAATGTTTATGACTAAGGAAAGCCATGCTTATCAGATTTCTAATGTTATTTTTGCTGTTTCTCTTCACAGATGTGGGAGGGCTGGGCATCGGTAAAAGCGAGTGCATTAATCATTTTAAACACTGAGGTCATCTGAAAATGTACCTTTGCACTTGATTTGAACCAAACCAGAGCTTAATCACTGTTCACAGCCTCTTTCCTTCCTGTATCTCCCTTTCACGCTGACATTGCAAAGACTGCGGAGGCAAAGAGTCTTAGCTGGCTAAGCTTGAGAAGGCTGTGGAGCTTAATTTGTCAAATTTCATTTAAATTTAAGGACAATGACACATTTTATGTATATAGAAAATAAATTATGTATGCTGTGTGTTATTTCACTGCAGGGTGACTGATGTTACAGTTTTGAACAGTTAACTGGTAGTCAGTAATCTTTTCCTCCCCATCTGATTAGAATTTGGGCTTAAATAAAATTTCAGCTTTTACTGATATTTTGGGAAGGAAAAAAAACATAAATCAAGAAAGATACACACAGTTCTCCTCACACAGAGGTCATATTATGTAGTTATTTACCTGGTTTTTATTGTAGATAATTTAATCAGGCCAAGAAGGCAGATTCAGAATGTACTGGGCTCTGTGTTAGTTACAAGAGGTAAGAAGGTGAGTTAGATGTGTGAGGTGCAGATTAACAGCTTTGAGTGCTATTTTTTCTTTAATTGATTAACTATTTATACTAAGGATCTTTAGTTGTAAGTGGCAGAGATTTAAATTAGCTTAAGCAAAAGATGAATATATTCAAGGGTCTATCTCCTTTTGAGCATGCTTAGATTTATGGAGCATAACAAATTCATGTGGCTTCTCTTTCCACCTTGGCCACATTTTTAAGGAGGTCCTCTGTACCTGGTGGCTCTGCTGGCTTTAGACTTTTAGATTAGCTTTTTAACTCAATTCCAGAGTGAGATAGAAAGGGAGAAGGGGAAAGAGTGAGATAGAAAGGGAGAAGGGGAATGGAGGAGGGAAGAGAGAGAGAGAGTGAGAGCGAGGGAGAGAGTGAGAGCAATAGGGGCTGGGGATTTAGCTCAGCTGCAAAGCACCTGCCTGGCAAGCGCAAGGTCGTGAGTTCGATTCCTGGTACCGGAGAAAAAACCAAAAAGAGAGAGAGAGAGAGAGAGAGAGAGAGAGAGAGAGAGAGAGAGAGAGAGGAATTTGCTTTGATTGGAGCTGTATCCTTATTTCTCACCTGATCACTGTGGCTCAAGGATCTGATGCAGTCATTGGCTTAACCCAGATTATATGTCAAAATTGGAGCCAGGATTAGTCAGCCTACCAGTTCACAAGGACTCAACGTAGGGGTGATAGGATTCTAAGAAATAAGGATACAGTTGAGAAGAACTGAAAGCTGACTAGGGAAACACCAAAACCAAAACCAAGACAGAAAAACAAACAAAGTGAATGAACGACTCCCCATCCCTTTTGCTTTTGGTTTCTTCATAGAACCCTTTAGTCCATCCTAGGATTTTGAATTCATTTCTCTAGTGGCTTTTTAACTTGTGGTCAAAGGGTCTTGTTCATACAGTTTTATATCTGGAAGGCAGATTTGAGGTGGCTTAGTTCTACTTCTTTTGTTGATGAAGAAATAAGACCCAGAGGTTTGGTGGCATGTAAAGCTTTCACCATGAGTTAATGAGAAAATAGGAGCGGAATCTCCTATTTTTCTGCTACTAGCTCAATGTTTTTGCTGTGTTCTCAGAGGCTTTATAAATTCTGCTTTGTTTTCTTATTGAGTTAGAATTTTTATTTTAAAATGGTACATAACCATATACAGATTTATGGGTTTTAAGTGATATTTTGATAGAAAGTGTATAGTTATCAAGTCAGAGCAATTAGCATTTTCATCTCCTTAATTTTTTTTTTTTTTTTTTTTTTTGGTACTGGGAGTTGAACTCAGGACCTTGCACTTGCCAGGCAGGTCCTTGTGCCACTGAGCTATATCCCCGGCTCATCTCCTTAAATGTTATTAAGCATTTCTTTGTGTTGGGAACTTTTGACTCCTGTCTTCTAGTTATTTATAACCTATATAACAAATTGTGACCTATAGTCACCCTAATGTGTTATAAAATATTACAATTTATTCCTCCCACTTAATTCAGAGGCTTTTGAGATTGAAAAATCTGAGTACAGAAGGGATAGTATGAAATTGATTTAGTTTAGACTTATTTGATGGGCTTGCTCTCCATCTATGGACCATTTCCACCCAACCCTCCCTGCCTGATAGTGCTGAAGCAGCTCCAAAATGAACCCTGTTTGAAGACCACCGGCCTCAGAGTCATGTCACTCATCCTTGTGTCTTTCTTAAGTGATGGCTTTGGAGCTACAGGCACAAAAGCATAGGTTTTGGAGTCAAGGAGACATAGGTTCATATTTTAGCAGGACGTGTTCTTGGCCTGGTTCCTTGGGTTTTTAGATACTTCATTTATAAAATAGGATATGATAACCAGGACTGCAATATTTTCTGACTTCAGGTCACCATTCACAATGGATTCTGTTGTGCGAGAAGGCATTTTACATGGAATACAAGTCCAATGGGTTTGTACAAAATTCTACCAGAGACTCCAACTCACTGAACATTTCTGAGGATCAAATGATGTAATACATGGAAAATAGCAGACTGAGTGTCAGCGCAAGGTAGATGCTTGGAGGATCAAAGGATTTCTCTTTGAGAACCGGCATGAAAAAGATTGATGGAATTGTTAAAAGCTGAGATAAGGAGTTGTGGAGACAGGTGACATTTGATGTCCTGGGGAAAGATCACCATCTGTGAAAGATTTCAAGACTCTTACTACTTGGTTTGCTTTAAAATTTTTATTTTTTCGGTCAGGTAGTTTGAAAACTGGCAGATAGTATTTCTACTCCATGTACCTTATAACTCAACACACTTAAGTTATCAAAGGGCACTCAACATTTATACAGCTTACTGAATATAATCAACCCCATTAATTTCTGCCATGCCTTATACAATTGAACAGCAAACTTAAGAGATTTAGTTTGAATTTAAAAAGCTCTGAACTATTTGAAATGTTTGTTTCAGCTAATTCCAGAAATCTCCTCCTTGACTTGGTTTACCACCATCGTGCCTTTGGTCCTGGTGATAACTATGACTGCTGGAAAAGACGCCACAGATGATTATGTGAGTATTTGCTGCTCAGTTTCAACTGTGGCTTCTCAGACACAGAGTGGAGATCTACTTGGAATTTTAAATGAAAATTTTTTTAGTGACTACTGTATATTCTTTTGGTATTTGTTTTGCTACCTGTTAATATGGGTGTTGTAGAACCAGAACCTGTTTAAAAGCAAGAAGCCTTCAATAACTAGACGTCATACTCCCTTATTTCATACAAGAGGAAGTGAAAGCACATGAAGAGCTAGTCATTTGCTAATGATTGTGCAACGAATTCGTGGAAAACAAATTATATTTAGAATTCAACCTCAGTTCACCCAGTGAAGTATTACTTATTCCTTGTCATATACCTTGGTCTAGGTTTTGGGAATTGGTAAATACATACTCCCATATTGTGGTCAACCTACTAGGAGTTACAAAATCAAAAGTTTCAAAAGTCAAAAAACTAATGCAAATAAGTGAGAAGTAAGATGATAGAGAATTTTAAAGCCCATGTAACTCAAAGGATGTCCAATTCTAATTCCAATTCAAAGATTTAAGATACAATTTTAGGAAAAATCAAACATCTTAAATCTAGATAAATTATATTCTGATCCTGGTTGCTTGTATGTGTCCTAGCCTTAATAACTATTTATATATTTATATTTCAATGAAATATCTACATCTGTATCTATCTCTCAGGCCTCTTCTAGAAGTTCATATCCATATTTTCTCTTTTTCTTTTTTGTCTGTTTGAGACTGGGTCTCACTATGCAGTTCAGGCTGGCCTTGAGCTCACTTCATAGTACAGGCTGGCCTCAAACTCACAACGATCCTCCTGCCTCAGTCTCCCGAGTGCTAGGATTACAAGCATGCGCCACCATGCCCGGTCATATCCATATTTTCTGTTGTCTATTTTAACTTATCTTTAAGCATATAGTTGGGCAATACTTTCTGCACAAAATGAAAGTCTTTGCCTTTTAATTGGAGTACATAACTCATCTATGGTTAATGTTATTATGACAATTAGGTTTGAATTTATTATCTTGCTGTTGTTTTCTGTATACCCCATTTGTTCTTTTCTCAGTTTCTTTTGCCTACATTTTAGATTAACTTTTGTGATTCAATTTTATATTTAAATTAAATTGAATAGTAGATATAGTTTTCCTGTGGTTACTTAGGATTTGACTTAATGTAGTCTACATGGGGCCATCTGGCTTCAGAGTACTTGCCCATATTCACCACACTCTTCTGTGCCAAGCTGTACGAGGAATGGAAAAATGAAATGCACACAGAAATGAGTTCTTTTTTAAAGTTTCAAATTAAAAAATGAGGAGATGAACCCCGCTAAGCCACACACTCAGATAAAATAATGTTTCCGTTTCTGTTGTTCTATTTGTAGGGAGAAGTTTACACATCAATGAGTAGGCTGGATAAAGACAGAGGCAGAGAACAATAATGTCACAAAGTAATATTTTTAAAAGTGCCTTGGTTCTTTATGGAAGGAAGATGCCCTGCAGTAGCTGGGTTGCAGTAGCTGGGTTGCAGTAGCTGGGTTGCAGTAGCTGGGTTGCAGTAGCTGGGTTGTTAATAGGAGCAGGTAGCATAGGGAAGAGAGAGTTAGGGAAGGCTGCTGGGGGAAAGTGGAAACCCAACCCCGTGGCTGATTGTGAGAAGGAGAGGTGGGAAGATTTGTTCTTGGCAGGTTGGTTCATGTGATGTTTCTTCATGGTCATTTTGTGTATAATCAACAATTTTATGCATTATCAATTTGATGTGAGTCATTTTAAAATCGCACACACACGTATATATTTAAGGTATTTGTCTTTATTTACCATGTTTTACAGGATACACAGGGTATAACTGTCTTCACTCTGAAATGCCTGACATGTTTCATGGTACACATTGTGCACTCTGGCACACACAGCATCTGAGGCTAACTTTTCACAAATGCAAAGGGCCTGAGACTTCCACTTGTAATCCTTCCAGATGCCCTCGGGCCCAGTATCAAGACCCCTGAGCGAAGTGGGAGTGGACCCTTCATGAGGCCCAGAGCGTGCTGCTCACCTTTGGGGATGGGCTGATTACCCTTTCCCTATGATGCTCAGAGAGTCAATTTAGAGGATTACTCCAGGTTAGATACAGATGTGATAATCAGTAAGTGTCCTTTTGATTCTACTGCAGTTAATGCTTGAATGGGCTCTTATTTTTATGATGATAGATGCCAGCTCAAAAGCTGGACATTTTTACCAGTCAGGGTCTTGGCAGGAGGCAGATGTCACCCTGAAAAGAGAAGACTGGGTAGTTTGATAATGAAGGGATCATTCATTTATAAAGGGTGCGGGGAAGGAAAATACTCAGGAAAGCAACATGGGCAGCAAAACTACTTCTAGGCCTGAAGAGGAAAAGGAAGGAGCAGTCAGTCACCAGACCCGGAACTGTAGCTGAGGGCTGTTCACAGCAGCTAGAGCCATCGCCGTCTGTAGAGGACGGAGCCATTGCTAACGCAGCGGGAAGGAAACCAGGGAACAGACACGCCTCCCCACTCTCCCCAGGCCCTCTGATCTCACCGGTATTCCCTACTGGCCAAACCAGCAGAAGCAAAGACTACACAGGCATCTTTCCACGGTCCAGGCCAGGACGGAGAGGGACAGATGGAGGTGCACTGTATCTAAACAGAGAATGTTCAGCAACCCCACCAGGCCACACACTCAGATAAAATAATGTTTCCATTTCTGTTGTTCTGGTGAGAGAGAGAGAGAGAGAGAGAGAGAGAGAGAGAGAGAGAGAGAGAGAGAGAGAGAAGTTTACACATCAGTGAGTAGGCTGACTCAATTTACTTGTGAAAACTTACAATATTTTAAATGATTGTCATGTTAACAAATGCTATGTTTGTTTTCTTACTTTTACTCATAATATCTTTTCACTTCTATGTGCTGTGCTGTGTAATTGTGCATAGTAGGCATAGCATAATAAAGTGATTGGGATGGGTTTCAGAAGAGTGCAGAAAAAGAAAGTCTGGTAGAAGCACTATCTTATGTATACTGCTGTTGATACAACATTTTGGACTAAAAAAGAGAAAAAGCATTTAACCTTGTGATTACAGTCCATGAAGTGCAAGTTTCACGTCTCTGAAACTGCGCTATTCATCTGAGCACTTAGGCTAATATGCTGAAATAACTCTCTCCGTGTTAGCTTACCACTATTTGTGCTATTTCTCTGTATCACCCTCATCTCTAATTCAGTTCATTATGATCTGATCTTGACAGATAAGAAATACTCATCTAAGTGTCTGCTAATTTTTGTGTCTAGTGGAAAGCTCAGAATACTTAGATTCTTCTGAGCAATTTAAGGTCTTTATATTACTGGAGTATACAATAAGAAATATAATTACTTGGGCATAAAACAGAAATCCACACCAAATGTGGTTCAGTATTGCATTCTGATTTTTGTTTTAAATGCTCAATATTTCATAAGATCACTATTAACAGACGTTTTGGGAAATAAAAACATGTGTTGTTACAAGTAATTTCTTTATTTCAAAGAAGTTCATAAAACAGAATGAATGATATTCCAGAAGATTCTGAGCACATCTGGGAAAGAAGTGGAAGCTCCCATTGCCTGATACGGCATCAAAATTAATGTCTGGTTTTCTCTTGGGACTATGTGGTGGGGTGAAAAGCATATTGTCTTCTTAGCAGCAACTAAAAACATGTGAAAATTGGAAATGTAAGTCTATCACGTGGCTAGAATTCTTTCACCGGTGATGCCTAGAGTGAGTTTTAGTGAGATGAGTGTTGGTTTAGATCTAGGACAAGGGGCTGGGTTCTAGGTAAGTATGAACTTGGGTTTGTGTTGGACCAGTGGCAGTAGCTTTCAAACAGGTTACTTCAGAATCATCCCAGTGTTCCTATTTAAGCTGATAAGATATGATTTATGGTTATCCATGACAAATACTTTGATTTTTTTTTTTCAGTTTCGTCACAAGAGTGATAATCAAGTGAATAATCGGCAGTCTGAGGTGCTCATTGATGGCAAGTAAGAAAAGTATTTTTTTGGTTATTATTAAGATTTCTGGGGCCACAAACTGGTCTTGACAATCAGTGACTTCTCCTACTATTAAAATGTATGTTTCTCTTCTCTCTTTGATTTCTTTAAAATTGAATATAATTCCCTTCTATTTTTGTGATTTACATTCAGTGAATACTTGTGTTTCACACTCAACTTAGGAGTTCAAATATCTTTGGAGTTTCTCTTGTGAAACACAGGCCTATCTTTGTCACTTTCCATCTTTAGACCTAATACTACTTAGAATTGGTGCATATACCGTGGTTTGTGTATCGTAGCTTATTATAGGTGCTGGAAAATTTTAACTTGGTGGTTTCTAAAAATATTGCTAGAAAGACTTCTGGCACATAGTATCTGAAGGGCTGGTAAGAATTCTGTATTCCCTTGACAGTTTAATTGTGAATAGGTTATGTTCTGCCTCATAGATTTTTCATTACATTTAAATTCATCCATTACTAAAGAAGTGTTCTTTGTGAGAGTAGTAGTAGAATCAGAAATGGTTTAAAACACTCGTATGTACACATAAACAACAGTAAAAACACTTCAGAAAGCTCAGCAGAGGTAAGTTTCAAAACTCTTCCATAGTTTCTTGTTTTCTTTTTCTCTGTCTCTTTTTTTTTTTCTTTTTTGCTACTGATAACATGTGGCAAGGTAATTTTGTAATGTACTTTTAATTTGTGATCTGGCAGTAAATCATATCAATTAGTGAGTCATTTAGACACTGTGAGGAATGTAATTTGAAGAAAAAATAATAAAACAAATTAACTCTATGCAGAAGAAAAAAATACAAATGACAAAGTTATCAAGAGAAGTTAGGTAAAAGAATTGATTTCTTTGTATCACTAAAATGCTGGCTAACACTAATCATCATAGATCCCTATAGTTTTTCCTTATTGGCTGATCTTAGCAAATAGTGTTTAGGGAAGAGAAAATGATCTTACTCTAGCATCATAATGTTAGAGAGAGAGCCCTGGTGATCAGGACGAACCGTAAAGACGCCTGGAAGCATCTAGCCAATGGCCAGGATATCAGCTTCTCATCCTCCCCAGCTTCTC